CAATCAACCAAGTACATCAACATGCTCATACATTCACTCATCGCCATTGTAAGTAATCATGTATTATTATATGTGTATTACGTGTATTACTGTAAAAGTATATTTTCATGCATTTAAATTTGCGAAATTAATTATTTTAGACTTTTCTAAATGTTTTGTGCAGGGTAAACTTATTAGTAAATGATACTTCTATGACTGGCATTAGTTATTTAAGTCCGATTGAAAATGTATTGTTAAAAGAGGATAATAATTTAGATATTATGGAATCTCATAAATTAGCTGTTGATACAGAAGCAGAAGATTTATGTAACGAAAATGTATTGTGTGAAGATATCAATTTAGAATCAATTATAGAATCTCATAAATTAGCCGTTGATACTGATACAGAAACTGAAAATTTATATAACACGTACCTATGTTTTATTTTTATATTTTACATTTTAATTCTCTGTTTTTAAAAATATTTTCACCTGTTGACTTATGTATGTAAATTTTAAAGTGAAACACACAATGAAATATCTGGGAATAGAATTGTTGATATATCTTATGTATTCAATCAAATTCAGAATAATAATCACAATGGTGGATTCGGATGTAATTTTATGAATATGGATTTTTTATATGAGATTCGTTTAGGATTTTATTCTGAATATTGGTTTAATTGTAAAATGTGTAACATAAAACAAAAAATAAAATCCGTGAAAAATTCACCTACAACTGACTGGTCAATTAATAAATCTGTAGTCAACAGTTCAATAGCTATCGGTGAGTATGGTAAAATATTAAAATATAAACTACTTCAGAAACTTTGTTTTACATTTTCAATCATAAGCTGTTAAAATTGAACATATTTTAATGTTTATGATTTTGATGAATTACCTATGTCAAAATTGGGATCTTAAATGCTAATAAATGAAATAATTTTTTTAAACTGCTATTTCAACAATTTATGCAAGGAACTTTGTATAATTCAATCGTTTTGACGAGTTGTATACAAATGTATACATCAAACGCTCATAAAAAAATATTTACGGAATATCGTTTGACGTTCAACATAAAATAACTTACACATTTTTGCAATTTTGACAAATTCGTAAAAATGTGAACTTTAATAAATTTAAATACCTACTACCTAGTTATAAAGAAATTAAATAAATTATTTTATATTCCAGTTTTACCTCTAAGTAAGAACATGTCTAAACATGAATTAATTATAATTTTTGAGCATTTTTAAATAATAAAAATAATAAAAAAATAAGGTCAGTTCAGTATGGCAGAGATATGGAAGGGGTTGCTAAAATGAAATTTGAAGAAATTTATGCAGGAATTCAGATTAAACCTTGTGGTTTATTTATAGACACAGAATTTTCATTCCTAGCTGCAAGTCCCGGTTCGTAATATATCATATAAATTATTTAAATGTTTACTTATAAAATATGTATAAATGTACAATACTATATTGTATGATTGCATAATGTAGATGGAATAATTGACGAAAAAACCATAGTAGAAATTAAAGCTCCATACTCAGCCAAAAACAGCCAAAATGCAATTGAGGCTGTCGAGAGTGGTAAAGTATGTCAGATACCAATATAAATATCATACATCATTCAGCTGTTTATAAATACAACTATAAATGTCATTATAATTTTGTTTAGTTACCTTACTGTAAAATTGAGAACGGACAATTAAAATTAAAAAATAATCACAACTACTTTTATCAAGTGCAAGGTCAACTTCACATTTCAAAAAGAGAAGTATGTTATTTTATTATATATTCTCCTCAGTGGATATCGGTTGAGAAAATAAAGTATGAAAATAATTTTTGGATTACGAAAATGAAAGACAAATTAAAAACGTGAGAATATTAAATTTTTAAGCTAGATACCTAATTTATTTTTAATTGTATATTACATAACATTTACATTATTTTATGTAGATTTTATTTGGATTGTTTGCTTCCGGAGATTGTAGATCCAGCTTATAAATATCGCTTGATGGTTTCAGATATTAGGGAATCAAACAAAGTGGAAGTATTAAAAAATAAAATTAATACGTAATATGATACCTAACCATTTTTGTTATTATTTATTTTCATCTTTCATATTTATTGTAAAATATATTGTTAATACTTCATTATATCTTTAAATTACAATGTTACGGTTTCAATCTGCATGTTTTTTATTTCGTTTAAATGTATTCTGGTTTCTCATACAATAGTAAATATAGCAATATTACAACATGAATTATTTAAAATGAATAATTCTATAAATAATGGTCAAGGTAGTGTTAAAAAGGAAGATTCTAGTATGTACAGCTCTTATTACGTCCTTAGTATTTTTTGCAACACATGCAGCTATGTAATGTTATTATTCCAAAACAATTGGAAAATTATAGGATTATAGTATTCTATTTTATTATATTTGAATAAGTAATAATGCAATAAATAAAAATCAAGTTATGTTATAATCCAGTTTCTACTATCTATTTATTGGTAAATAAATTTAGGTAAGCAGTGTCTTACATTTTAACCGTTGGTGCATGGTTACGCGCGGGTATTCAAAATATTATGGCGGCATTTACGTATATGTATTGTATAATGATGCGAACTGCATTAGACGAACGTTCATAAAATAATAAACGTCGCTCCCGTAGTCAGTCCGTACCAACACCGTCAGGCCGACTGCGAATAGTGGGCGTGACCTAAACGCCGCGCGCTTGCGGATCGCGAAAACACCTAACAGCGCATCCTCTCGGTCGTTGCATGCGTACACGTTTCGGTGATACGTCCTCTTAATGCATGTAACAGATCGTTTGAATAACATATATTATATAAAAAAACAAAATCTATATGACGTACACCTACTTTAAAACTCGTATTTTTGTATAGTTTAAACATTTAAAATATTATATTATGACGTTAAGACTTTAAGGGTGCTCCATCGTATCATGTCTTAAGGAGTAATATTTAGGCAATTCATATGTCATATAAGTAGTAAATGAACATTAGTGTGTGTTTCTGAGAAGCTCTTTAATCGGTTTAACTGCCACCGAATGTAACTCTCGCACATACATGTCAATACTTTTCGAAAAATGAAATATATTCTTGTTTGCGTAACTATAAAAACTAGGAAAAGAGGTGGTAAATTAAACATACTTCTTGAAGTTCGAAAAAATGGTTGAATTTAAGCGTCTAGGCTATATGCTCTTTAGGAATCACTTTTATGATTTACAATCAGATGTGCCCAAAATAAATACATATGTAAACCAATTAGGTATTTCATGGAATTTTTAAAAAAAAATCTTAATTTTAATAGCCTTTAAATCGACTTCCTAAAAAGCCTAGATATTTTGTCAAAGAGTTCATACATATATAAACAAATTAAAATCAGACATTCCATTCCAAAGTATGTGTAATGCTTATTGGTCTACAACGTATGAAAAATACGTTTGCTACAATCCCTTTAATGATGTAAATATTAATGGTATATTTTGTCAATTTTAAATTATTAAATCATAACACAAAGCATTATGATTAGTGCTGGAAATATTGCAAATATAAAACTATTTATTATTGGGCAATAAACAAGGAAAATCCTATTTTAATTTATTCGTTTCAAAAATGTAATTTATTGAAAAAATTTAAAAATATATATATTTATTATTTAACTGTATAGTAATGTAAAGAGTAAAATATAATTTTAATTTTTTGTATAATTTAAAATGTATCAACATTTAAAATTCATTAGTATAATTATTTTTAATGTAAAAATAAATCTAAAGATGGAAAAATAAATCTTTTGTTTAACTGAATGCCTAATTATTATGCATGAGTTGAATATTTTTGTACATTTAAGTTTGAGCCATAGAATTTGGTTTAAGTTTTAAGATTCCTGTACTAAGCTATTATATTTAGCTATTTAATACCTATACTCATATTTGAACAGCATAATTTAATTCTCATATTCGTATTTGGAATAACCGAATATTTATTGATATTTTTAAATTGCTAAAAGTACAATTATCAAGGCATTTTTATCAACGTTTATGAAAAAAAAAAATTTACAAATCTAAAGTTTAAAATACATATTACATATAAATTATATATTAATATCATTAAATTAGTATAAATTGTATTAAATTAGTATAAATTGTATTAAATTAGTATTGGACAAACATTATTATATGACTTATGCATGTGATACCTTAAAACGATTAGAAAATAGAAACTACGCATTCTTGCTTTCTAACTAATAGTTTGAGTTATTTTATTCACTAAAGCCTATAATAGGTTTACATACTGTAAATACAAGAATCCGTGGATTTAATACTATTTTAAGCATATTATTGATAATAATAGAATGGATAGGACAAGTCTATACAAACTAGATGTGGGGTCGCTGTCATTTTTTGGGAGAGAGGGATGTATATTTTTTACCTTTTTTTGAAAAAAGACAAACAATATTCAAGCTTTTCGAGATTATGAAAATAATACATGGGTTCGTCATATTCTCAAAAACTCATCACAAAATTCTCTTGAGATAAGCATTGGTTTTCTACCCATTCTTTTATTATAATATCATATGAATTTAATACCATCAATAACGTACTAATTGTATCAAAATCGTGTTATTAAATTCTAAAAACAATAAATTCTGAAAGACGAAGTTATAAAACAAATTTTTCATTTTTATAGAGAAATAATCGCTTAACATAAAAACTTTTTCATCAATTTAATAATAATAGTAAGTTATATTATACAGCTAATAAAAATATATAAATTACATACAATTTAAAATCTAACTTCCATGGCTATACAGAAATAGCGGAATATTTTTTCAAAGAAAAAAATCAAACAATAAAAATAATATTTGTGTATATATTTAAAATTGGATTTTAATTATTTATAATTTTTAAATTATAAATCAATTGAGAAACAAAACCTATGGTCAAAATGTAACATACATTATGACCGCATAAGAAAAATTGTTTACGTAGTATCATGTATATCCTTTTTTTTCTAATATAGGTGCCAAAGAGTTCAATTGCCAACGTTTAATCACTAATTCTCCGACTGGACGATTTATGGGAAAATGGCCAAGATTCCAATATTCCGGTATTTTGTTCCTGGGATTTTGTTCCTCCAATCACTCTTACAAGACATTTATCGTCCAATAAGTTGGTTAACTTAAATGGTAAAACTAAAGGATATATGTGTTCAATGGCAAGTTGAATTATTGCTTCACTCGGAGCTGTGAACAAAATATAATTCAACGAATAAATGTAAATAAATATACTTAAAACTTTATTTTAATAACTTCTTTAAGAATTTCCTTACCATTTACAGTAATGCTACCAGTAGAATATATTTGTAATGTAGCTTTGAATTCCTTAATTCTGTACGTCACGCCAGGATTCAACTCAGGTTCATACCTTTTAATAAAATAGTATAGTTTAAAAAAAAATGTTTAGAAGTTTTTATCAAAGAAATAGTAGGTAACCACTTATTGGGTCAAACCCCCACTGTGTTAATATTTTGTAATAGGTACGTTTTCTTTTCTTTTTTACAGAAAAACTACTATTTTTTTTCAGTTGAATTAAATATAGAAAATGCATACATTAAAAAAAAAATGATGTCAATAAAAAAATATAGATAGTTATATTTCATATTTAAATGTGAATATGATATTTAGGAATTGGATTTATAGTGCTATAATGGTATATAGGTATTCATTATGATGCACATCACATATTACATTCTAACATTTTCATGAATAGTCTGAATAGCTTATTATATAATATGCATGTGTTTTTAATTTTTATCGCTTTTATCTATTGATAGGTCATGTCATTTTTAATTATTGTTATAGATTTTATCACACAGGTTCTTACGTCTTGACTATTGTATTGCAATAAATGTATAGGAACAGGAAGAGACACATGACACATGAATCCCCCCAAAAAAGTTATTTATGTATAATATATTATGGTGGATGTGATAATTAGGTACATATGCAGTACCTAACAAAAATTCACAATAGATCTACATAAAATTATTAGATTTACGTTAAACAAAGAAAAAATTATTTGCATTTAGTAAGTTAGGTTAGCAGCCCTCCAACCAAGCTGTATTTCTAAACAACTGTATACTGTTAAAAACAAAATTACAAAAAAAATCATCGAAATTGTCTGAAAATTATGACTTCCCCCCTAACCATGTCGATGGAGCCGCCCCTGCATGGACTGACTACATATAGAATAAGTGAAAATATAAACACGACAATTCAACATGAAAATGAGATTTTCTTTTTAATTTAAGATTCTGGGTGGAGTGAGGAATGTATTGGTACAATATTAAAATTAGGTTTGCTTTATTTTGTGTGTGTATGACGTGTATAACGTCACGTTTTGGAGCAGACAATTTGCAAAAATAGCTACCTAAATAGATTTTGTTTTTTTTTTTGTAATTTAAATCATGTTAATTATTTTCTACACAGTGAAATGTACAAAATATTTAGACTAATTTTATTTTAAGCTATTATTTTGCCACGAACGATTATATATTATAGAATGTCAGTTTTGAATAAATTATGAGTTTTATGCTATACTTTTGACAAAAATAGTTCAACATATCGAATTAAAATAATAATAACGTATCCAAAAAAATTTGTATTTATCTATACTAAACATAAACTAGGTATCCTTAGAAACAAAATCTGATCCAATCGCCTCTTTCGCTCGGAATCGTTTTTTTCGTGTAGTATGATTTATAACTGAATTCAAATTTAACATCCATTACTACAGTGGCTAATGAATGATGATTTCTAAACCTACTTTATCTACAGCAAAAGTGAATTCACCTGTTTTGATTTTTATTATCCGCATTTATAAGTGTATTTAATACGTCTTCTAAGGAAAGTTAAGCAATTTTCTTAGTAAGTACATTCTAGTAACCGTGGTATTAGGGATGGCTAGAGGTTAGTTGTCTACGGCATAAAGAATCTTTAGAAAAAATGAGGCCAGACTTAAATGTATTTTATTCGTTTTTATTTCATGGTAAAAATAATATCATAAGACATATTATTGGCATCAACGACGTTATTTATTAGCCTATTATCATTGATTATAATTTATAAATACAATTGTTTATTAAAATTATGTTATATCTGAAAAACTTTGCCGATGCTACAATGCTGTTTGAATGTTTTAGAAGAGGAAATTTATTAACGCATGGCACATCTGAATCACAATCTAATGATAATAGATACTATTAGTCAATGATAGTTTGTATGCGCTTGGCAACAAAAGTGGTGCACAATGCACCATAAAACGGTACATCGCGAGCTTAAAAAACACGATCTTTACAATAAATAAATAAATATATAATATTTTATAATATATTTTATTATATAAAATATATAATAAAATATAATAGGTAATTAATCAAAATAATATTGATTGAAGTATAATCGGATTTCGGAACACTTTTCCTACCCTTTTTATACCACTAATATCATTATTGTGAAATTTTGCGATGCCCAATGTAATTTAAATGTCAAATAATAATATAATTAATATGCATATAATATAAAGTTAAGCCATTTAAAATGTCCCAATACTAATTTTTTTTAATAACATTGAAATCTATTTACATTACATTTAGTTAATATAATCAATTATAGTTTAGGTACTTACTGAGAATTTAGCTTATGTTTTTCGCAAAATTGTATAATTCTGATGGAAAATGGTAAACTACATGCGCCGAGAACATTGATAATTTTGAAACTACTAAATATTGCATCACTATATCCCAGCCTTTGAATAATTCGAGCAATACGTTTTGAAGCTATTTTTGAATCATGTTCAGACGCTGAACCTATACAAACTATTTTACCACTTGACCATATAATTGCTGTAGCACTTGGCTTACGCAACTTCATTACAAGTTTCTAAAATAATAAAAAAAAATCATAATGTATACAAATGTGTTTAAATATTCAAGAGTATGTACCTAATTAAAAGAATTTTCTTTTTGATATTAAATATTAAAATACAATACACTGTTCTAATATATAACAAAATATCCTACCCCTTTAATCTGAGCTTATTATGGGGTGAGGAGTTACAATATACTTTCAATTAAAAAATAAATAAATTATGTATAATATTATATTACCGCTTTTTCACGTTTATACTCCACATTATGGCCATGCAGTGCTAAATATCTGAGATTTAAATGTGATTTCACATTAAAACTAGCAGATACGCTACTTATACTAATTAATATTTCATCATCAACATTTAAACAGTCTTGTATAGGTTTTCTAGATGTTGATTGTATTTCCTCTTGTTCGTGAAGACCATTATTGTTGTAAATGTTAGCATTTAATGAAGATTTATTTAAATTTAATTTATATTTAAATTTAATGATAGGTGTCATATCGATCTATAAAAAAATAAATGTATACATTAATAATTAATTATATAATTTTTATCTTAATGATCTTAAACAATAGGTGCCTATCAAAACACAAAATATAGGTAATATTTGTTGGGTACATGTAATTGTTTAGGTTGTAACTAGATATAAATAATGTATTTCAATTGTAAGAACAACTGCAATTTTTTACCAATTTTAAACTGAAGTAGATTGTTCTAAAGGAGATATAGAATAACTTTTGCTGAAAAGATTATTATAAGAAGCAAGTGTTGAGTCCAAAATATTGTTTAGTCCAACATTTTTTAGATTCTGAGTGAAACGATGAATGTATTGATTTTACAATGATGTGTGTTTTTTTTTTTATTTTTTTTTTATTTTATTTTTTATTTTATTTTTTATTTTATTTTTTATTTTATTTTTTATTTTTTTTGTGTCTGTGTACACGATAAGTAGTCGAAATAATGCTTCGATTTTCGACTTCAGTATCTTGTTCGATTGGAAAGTGAATATCGTTGGTGCATTGGGGAGGTCAAAATTTAAATTTCCCAGTAGTTTTCAAGAGCGCCGGGAAAAACAAAAGAAAAATTAAGGAAAAACGGGAATTTTTACGCAAAATCGATTTTTCAGAAAATTGAATTTGGTTTTTGGTGTAACTTTAAAACAAATGACCGTAGGTACATGCAATTTTCACTGGTTGTTTATATTTGCATCTTCTATACACGATAACATTTTCAAAATATTTTGATTTATTTTGAACAGTTTAGGGACATTTTCATTTTTAGTTTTTTTTTAGTTTTTTTTCTAGAAATATCAATAAAATTTTATTTGTTGGTTGCGAAAGCTTGAAAATTTAATAGAAGGCTCCTAATATATTGTTTCAAGGGCAGATGAAAAATATTAAAAATCCTTAGTCACAATTTTTTTTTATAAGCATTTAAAGTTCAAAAATTGACAAAATATGGAAAAATCACGAAAATTAGCAAATTATTTTGAGTTAAGAATTCGTAAAAATTTTTCTTTTTAAATCTAAGATTTGAAAATCTAATACAAGATTACTCATAAGATTGTCTACCTTTATCAATAAAAAAATCTCTACCGGAAAGTCAAATTAAATTTTTATGAGCGTTTGAAATTCAAATTTTTACAACATTGGATATTCACTCGATTTCTCATGTGGCAATTTCCTTTTTTTGTTGTAATTAAAAAACGAATTACTGTAGATACATGAAAATTTCACTGAATGTTTATATTAGCATTTCCTATACACCATACAATTTTGAAAATATTTTGACTCTTTTTGAGCCGTTTACGGACATTTTCAGTTTTCAATTTTTTTAGTTTTTTTTTTCTATAAATATTAATTAAGTTTTATCTGTTGGGCCAAAAAGTGTAAAAATTTAATACAAGGCTCCTGATATATTGTTACAATATCAGTTGAAAAATATTAAAAATACATAGGCACAATTTTTTTTTATAAGCATTTTAACATCGAATTTTGACAGAATTTTTCAAAATCTCGAAAATTATTAATCATCGTAATTAATAAATTATAAAATGTTCAGTTTTTATAGCTAAGGATTGAAAATTTAAAACAAGATTTCACGTAAGTAGTTAATTCTCTTACCGAAAAATCTAAAAAATATACAATCACAGTTTATTTTTATAGTCATTTTATGTTCAAATTTTGACGAAATTACATATTAAAAAACCTAGTTATTTTGTTGTGATTATATAATATTATTCGTGGGTACCTACTTGAAACTTCTAAAGTGTACTATTATATATATATGATAGTATCAGGGTTTGTTGTTGGTGTATAACGTGTTATTAGTACCTAATGGATATTGTGATAATGTGATATGATTAATTTGGAATTTATTATAGGTCAATTTTTTTTTAATACCATAGATATGTATATAATTTGTCTTAACCTAGACTGACATACCGTCTTCGCTCAGAATCGTTTTTCTTATACAATGATATTGTATCATTGAATTCAAATTTAATAGCATCAATTATACAGTGACCCACTTGTAACCTACTGTACAGCAGAGCGACATCCACTTACCCACCTTTTTTTTTTTGATAGTTTTATTCGATTTAACTATCTAATTTTAAGCTATTATAACCTCTTAAAACGTAACCTTAGTAAAGTTAATTTATACTAAATTCCTACCTATGTACGCCACTAGCCTCTACAGTATAATTTGAGGTATATTTTTTGATTTTCATACAACACAATCAAACTATCAAACATCAAAATCAAATTAGAACTCCAAAGAATTTCGAACTTGAAAATTGGGACTTTTAACACATAAATACATAATAAAAATAATAATAATAACAATAATATTCATCGAAAAATATTTTTTTTTATGCAAATCCAATAGTTATTACAATGTGTTTTTTAAATAACAGTACCTATTCCATTAAATGTTAGATTATTCAAAACAATTATTAGTACAAAAGGATGTCACTTAAGTTATAAAAGTGATCACAATCGCGAATTCATTTAAATTGTTACTAGGGCTAGGTTTTTGTAGTAAATACTATTTTGATGGGGAGTGTAATAGAAGGGTAACTCTCATACCATATAAATGCGTTTCGAATCATTCTAATTACAATGAAGAAAACATTAATTTGCTTTTTTCAACATAATGTCATTGTTTGGTATTTTTTGCACTATTTTCTAGAACATTTTACGTATTTCTAAAATTGTATTAATTCAACCTACTATATTATTTCCTGAAATAAGTAATAACTTATTGATAAGTAAAATCATTGAAATATTTTAGATGACTAATAAAATGCTGCAACACTTGCAATATCGGAATTCTAATTATTTTCAAAGATAATTAGAATTCAGTTTACATTAAATATGGTCCCATAACATCAGTTGACGAAGAAAGTTTATTTTTAATTTTTAATTTTTTTTTATTAGCTCACAATATGCTAATAGTTTTAATGAAACTAATTTAACTAAATATATGATACCTACCAAGTAAATTAAGTTTTAATCTTCATACCTAATTTTATTTTGTATTTTATTTTTGTATTTTAGATTTTGAGAGGACCTATGAATGTGCTGATTATACAATGATGTGGGTTTTTTTTTTAATTTATTTATTTGTGTCTATAATCACGTTTTGGGGCAGTAAAATTATTCAGTTTTCTACTTCAGCATATTTTCTAGAAGGAAATGTAATCTAGTAGGTAATATGAGGAGTCAAAAGTAAAAAAATGTCTAGTAGGTACTTCTCAAAAGCATCAGGAAAAACAAACAAAATATTTAAGAAAAACTGACATTTTTAAGCAAAACCAGTTTTCGAAAAAATTGATTTTGTTTTTTGATGTAACTATAAAAAAAATAACCATAGATACATGAAATTATCACCGATTGTTTATATTGGCATTTGCTGAACACCAAACATTTTCAAAATTTTTTTACTATTATCGAACTATTTAATGCATAAGAAATTTTTTTTAGTTTTTTTTTCTATAAATGTCATTAACATTTGTTTGACAATTTTTTTGTAGTTATAAAGTTATAATCTGTTCAATTTTTATAGCTAACGGTTAAAAATGTAAAACAATTATTCACATACATATTTTATACTGTAATCAAAGTATCTAAAAAAATGCATTTACACGATTCTTTTCACAGACATTTTAAGTTCAAATTTAGACGAAACAGAATAACAATTTAAGTTATTTAGTTGCAATTTAAAAATATTATTCGAGGGTACTTGAAACTTTCAGAGTAGATGATTATATTTTATATACACAATAACATTTTCAAATGCAATTTTTCTAGGCAAAATCAGACCATCTTTGCTCAGAATCGTTTTTCGGATACAATGATTTTATATCATTGAATTCAAATTTAACACATCCATTACAGTTACTCTCTAGATACCTAATGTACAACAGAGTGTTACCCACTTTTTTAAGCTTAAATAAATGCTCTTTTGGAAATTTATTATAAACAATTTTTTTAAAGATTTATTTTACTAGGTATATGAATCAAAGCCCTAATAGTTATTACTATCATCAAACATTTTAAAGTATGTTATGGTCACAAGGCACGAAAACATAAGTGTTAATTTATAATACAATGATTTGAATTTAAAGTGTACCTAATTAAAACAGAAAATAAAAATAAAAATAATATAAAAATAACCATAATTTTTTATATCCAAAAATGTAAAAATGTAAATACCGTAAGCCAATAACCTTTGTTGTTGAGGCTTTAAATAAACAAAAAAAAAAAATAAAAATAAAAAAATTTATTATGGCAAGTTGTGTAGGTAGGTATCAAACAATTAAAAATATCATTAAATAACATTTAAAATAATTCAATAAAAATGTACGTACCTATCTACCAAGTTGTAGATACTTGAAAATATAACAATTATATTGTTCACATATTGTAAATTTATACTTTATTATGAAATTATAGCTCTGGCCACCACAGCGTATATATTATATTAGTATTTGTTTATTAATTGAGACTTGTATTTAGAATAATATATTTTTTTTTTTATTATTATTGTTCAATTAACTATGAAACTGAGGTAGAAGTAATACTATAGTGGTTCCCACCTCAGTTGCGATACCACATACAAAAAAAGTTGTATTTTTCAAATCGGCGTGTCACAAGTATAACATCAAAAATAAGTGCACTGTAAAATTATATAAGCTCATAATTAATAATATTGTACTTAATACGAGTGCAATAATAAATACCGAGATATATTATATTATAGTGTATAAAAATATTTTTGAGTCCCTGCCTATAGGTATATGCCTAACTTATATGCGATAAGAAAATTAATATACATACGCTATAGGTATCTGCAGGACAACACAAAGGTATGGTGGATCGATGCAATTGTATTATTAATATTATATTCGACGATGTATAGTGAGACGTTTACGGCGATGATTTCAACGAAGTGATCGATTGAGACGAGAAAAAAACGGCGTACGATATAGCAAGC